GAAATGAAACAGCTTACGGGAATTTCCCATGGCGACGACACGTTCCATCTCTGACGCGCGTTGAGTCCACCAGATCTCGCGGTCTCTGCGTAGGTTTACGGTGAGGTTACGACTCGTTGCTCGTCGTATTTCATTATGCTCGCTACCGGTCGGGATTGATTGGCGTGCGTCGAGAAGCCGTAGAGATTCCGCAGAAATCCAGGGTGTCACGGTACGACGTGTCAGACCACAACTAACTAAGCCAGCAGAATGCAGAGTATTCTTGATAAGCGACCAGTGCTGGTTAACGTCATCGATTGGGGTTGATTCTAGCTTTTCAGATAGCGTGTTCTGAAAGACAGTTAGGCGTGTTGGTTCATACAACTGGTCATAGTCTAACCGTCTATGTGTCAAGCGTTTGGGACGCCCACCGAAGCACATGGACAGCTTGGCGCAATCTAACGCGTGTTCGGATTCGAGGGAGATGCTCGAGTACGATCGGCAGTCTTGTATACAACCCCGCGATTTGTAGCTTATAGCGATGTGGTCCATCTGCGTCCGTATCTGACTCGAGGAGGGCGGACGCCAAGTGGCGTACCGGCAATTGGATCGTCTGAAGTTCGTACTGGCGAGGAATAGGCAGTGGTCGGAACAAAGAGCCAATAACCGTTCCCTATTTTCAGAACGACAGGAATCTAGTCTGAAAGGACCACCTAGATGCGCCTCACTCTAAGTCAGATGGGTTTGATGGGAACTTCAATCGGATAATGGAGCTGGAGTCTTGAATGCCTATCTCGTGGATACAACACACATCGATGGCTGGGGTCTCGAGCGTACGAGCTAAACCGGCCTGTTGTCCTATACGCATCAGAGTGCGCACATTCAATGTGGCTAGTTTGAAAGGACATCGAGGGCGAAGAAGGGCTTCAGCTGGTGGAGGAATCGGTGAGACTTGGACAGTGGTCGAGGTAGGACATGAGGGAACAGCGGCACAGTTTCCATCTGAGGCACTAGTGTTTGCACGATCGTCTGAAGAAGGGGTGGGTTAAGGGGGCGGATGTAGGATGGGGGAGGGCTGGGAGGACGTGAGTGTGTGTACGGTGTAGAGTGTTTGCCTCTAGTTGCAGAAATAGTACACTGAATGCGCGTAGAAGTCGAAGAGTTCATCATTGTTGGCGTTGTGGGCTGTTGTACTACTCGGTCGCCCGGTCCAGAGTAGGCCGTGTTCGAGGGTGCATTCTAGCCTTTGCGCAACCAAGCGCGGACTGCAAGGTAGCAGCGATATTCCAGATGAGCCTGTGGCCAGTAGTTGGTTCATTCGCCTCTTCTGGAAAGCCTTGTCGAGCAAGGGATCTTGACCAGGAGCAATGACCCTATTTGGTGGCGGGCCACACTCGCCACGTAACAGCGCTGTCCACAGATATGTGGCGTTTCGTACGGAGAACCCTTGCCAGGGGTAAACCCACCACATCCTCGAGCGCTGCCGCTGATCGTCCGCGACCGCTTATTTGGAGGGCCGAGGCTCACCTTATTCACGGTTAGCCGTGAGATGATGGCCGTTCCCCTATCCGCGACCTGGGGACGCGCTCGGTAGCATACAGCTCTGCTCTCCCGAGAGTCCTCGAGCTACGCCATACGCACCATCGGCCAACGGTTGTCGTGTTCCTTGACCTAATAGGAGCCTTCGTCTCAGTTGACCGCAAATCCTTATGGGTTTGCTTCGCAAAGGAATGCCGCAGAAGTATGTGAAGATATTAAGTTCACCTCACTCACATACTTCTGGTAGCGTAAGGGTCTACGGCGAAGTGAGTAGGTCGTTCGTACCTAACAGCGGTGTTCGTCAAGGGTACGCTTTTTCGTTATTCCTGTTCAACTTCGCCATAGACGAGATACTGGACTCCAAAATGTAGATAGTGAATGGGCGGCTGGAGAAAAGCTGTGCTATTTGGGGTACGCTGATAACATCGTTTACCTGTTCGGATCCATGGATGATGCACAAAGAGCACTTGACAGATTAGCAAGTCCTATCGCTCCGTTCGGCCAGTGCTTTGCACGTTCAAAGTGCAAAGTAATGCTACAAGACTGGATGTCACCGAGTTCTGTTTTGAAACTAGACCGTCAGGAATTACCTGAAGTTGACTGCTTCTCGTACTTAGGTAGCTGCGTGACCAACGGCGGCAGCGCATCAAAGGAGATAACCGCCGGCATTTCCAAGGCTCGAGCAACGTACGCAGGACTTAAACACTCGTGGCGGCAACGTGACGTTTCACTAAAGTTGAGAAGTCGCGTATACCGCGCAGCTGTACGATCAGTTCTGCTTTACGGCTGTGAGACCTTGAATTTGCGAGTAGAAGACATCCGTCACCTAGAGGTTTTCAACGTAGTCTGGCCGAAGTGGGATGGAGTGAGCGAGTTAGTAACCTAGAAGTTAGTCATCGGATTTTTGAGAATGCATCGAACAAGAACTGGCTATCGCATCGAATCCGGCTCAACATGCTCCGTTGTTTAGGACACGTTTTGCATATGTTCGACGGTCGCCTACCGCGGCGCGCCTTATTCACAGTGGCTGTTGCAGGCTGGAAAAAGCCGCATGGAGGCCAGCAGATTACGTGGAAACGAGGAATTTTTTTATTACGCAGTTGTGTGGTGTACAACCACGAAGACCTGCTGCTCCGTCATGGAAACCGGTAACCTAAGCCCCGGCGCTTGTTGTGGTGAACCACATAAGACCCCGATCGGTTAGGTGTGGTATTGAACCGGAGGCATGAAGAAAAGCACAGAGCGATTAGTTAGAGAAGATGTCTCTGGTTTTCTGGGTTGGTGTCCAAGGGAGAGGTTGGAGACACTAAAGGTCATGGTTGCGAACTGACAGCAGTGGCGATCATACTGTCTTACTTCAATTTAGTTTACAGTGACTGGCTCCTGGGAGGGGATAAGCCGGCTTCATAGATATCCCGAATGGCCGCTGCCCACGCTCGACGA